GTCTCAAACGGTCGAGTCAAAACGAGTCTGGCAAGTCATTAAAAACATATATCTATGAAAAAGCAACTGCTTTCATAACGGTAGCATGTAACAAGCTAATATTGCTAGCTTACTCGTCGATGCCGTCTGCGTTTCGCTATAGCCGCTTTCTGTTGCTGTTGTGTGGCCAAGTACAGCCTTCGGAAACTCTCCGCTCTTCTGCGCGTCACCATTTGTCGTCGCACTCAACGTTTAAGGACCGTTATGCGCAGTTTTCCGGTAAACAGTTCCCACCCACTTTGAGGCGGCTCTGATGACAGTGCAAAACATCCAGGGCTGGGCAGGGCCGGACCTAGGCCATCTGGGGGCCGGGGCCGGCCCTGCAGTGCATAAACGCCTTGGACTTTGGTTTATAAAACCTAACCTAACTTTAGATTAAATATTTGTGCTCAGAGCACTGTTATCCAACAGATATGTCCAACTTTGCGTGCATGACCAAGCTCCTCGTGCAAAGGCTGCGCGCGACATTCAGTTTGTCTGTCATGCTTTTGCTATCCTATCACCCGCGTAAAGGGGCTGTCCTACAACATTTCACTAGTAAAGTGTACTGCCACATGTCCTGTTTTGCTACAATAACGTAAGCGCCAAATATAAACACTTCCATTGCTAACGAAGATGCGCACGTTCTGCATGAAGTACGAACCGAACCGAACCGAGCAGAACATGGTGCGAGTCAGATTCACTGTTTTGTCTGTCCCATATTAAAGCAAAGACGAATCTCCATTTAAAGTTTACCTCCTCATCCTCACCAGGAGAACAGCACCATGTTCTCCAGGTGAGCGTGTTTCAAATGTTTTTATAGTTCATCAGTTTCATTTTTCACTGCTTGTTTATATTTAGAACCATACAGGGCTGCTCTGTGATAAATGTAATTCAATAAATGATCAAATATGTAGAATAAACAGTTTTAAATGATTACATGAGCTTGAACAATTTAAATAACTGTTAAAATAAATCAGTCTAATACTTATTATCAAGTTATTTTGTTCCGTATAACAGACAGATATTTGCTATAATTTTCAAGTAAATAATTAGGATTTGTCTGGTCAAATGAAGGTCAATAAATAAATCTGTCAATCCATGCATCATTAGTGTTCTAACCAGTTCCAAATATCCATGTGTCAGTTTTTCATAATACATGCTGACAAAAATGACAAAAGTTATTTTTTTTATGTCACCATTGTTTGGCACAGAGTTAGTTTATGTTCTGAAGGCTGCATGATGTCATGTCAGATTGTTATGAGCGGACCTGTCATTAAAGTGTAACTTACCCCCCTGTGAAAGGATAACTCCGCCCCCAACGCAAATTTGAAAAATGCACAAAGTTGCGGACATGAAAGCGCCTGCTGCGAAGCAGGAGGAAAGGAGAGAGGGAAAAGTAACTTATTTATAGCGGCAGAACAGGTTGGAAGATGGCTGTTTGATGTTATTTATTGTTTTTTAAATCATCCTATAGGCTCTGACATGTTAGATMAATTTGAAAATGAGGTTTTTAAAATATCTGTAAGACTTGAAAAAATCTGTGAGATTGCTCTACATGTCTGTATACCTGCAAAATGATGTCAAATCCTTATAATTTACAGATAATCTGTACAAGTTGCTGCCCGCTGACTTTCTTTCCCCTCATCCCCTCCAGCTGTGCAGGACTACTGCTACCTCTCCCCACCCGAGGCTGAAGGTCAACAGACAATCATGCTAAGCTTGCTAACTGTTCCACCCTCTGACTGCTGCAGGGGCGTGTCTTAGAGAGAGGTTTATATATCAAGACAACCGCTGTGACGAAACTGTGCAGAAGCACGTCACAGCGGAGAGCCGTTAACCAATATGCAAATTAGCCTGCAGTACCACTGCTCTACCCATATGCGCAGCAAAAAGACGTTTAGACCAAATATTACAGATTTGAACAAATACACACAAAAACATCAAAATTAGCACAGAAACAGTACTATATAACTTTTTAGACACATTCTAGACAGTTTATCAGCTAAAAAAAGTTAATTTTGGGGTAAGTTACTCTTTAAATCAGGCAAAGAAATGCCTCCTACTGTTGGTGGTTATCAGTATTTTACCTGTTTACTGAGTAAAGTTTTTAATGTTCTTAGTTTTAAACATGCAGTTGAGGCTCATCATTGCTTGGCACAATGACATGTTCTGTTACAAATAAAACTAAATCAAGAATAAACAATGTAAACATAAAATTATTCTCTTAAAATCATTGTGATAAACTACGTCACATTAAGTTCATTATCATGGCTATAGCAATGTGATGCAACTAATTAAATGAAGAATCTGTCTCTAATTTAGTTATTTAATCAAGTGTTTTTATGTTTTCAAGTGTTTTTTTTTTTTCAACATTGTTTTTACGTAGGAAAAAGGATGTTTAGGTACCTGTAAAATACACCAGAATGCAGGAAACTGGATCTACTAAATTCAAAATTTTATGGGGGAGGACCCCCACCCCCCAGTGAGCCCTTTACACACATTACAATGTTTTTAGAGAATAAACCAACAGAGAGCACACCTGTGTACCTGTCTGTTGTATGAACCCCCTAGCTGTTTTTTTTTTTTTTTTTTTTTTTT